TCCCCTGCCCTGCCTCCGCAGCAGTCGCGGAGGGCCAGCCTGCCCCACCCCGGTGCCAGAGCCACGCCGCGTCTCTGCGGTTCTCCCAATTGGCCACACAGCCTTGACTAGCCCCAGCCTACTGGTGGGATTTTGGTGCCAGAGGTTGGCAGGCACCCTCGAGAAGCCCGGGGCGGGAGCCCGGCAGGTAAGGTCTGCCCTGCCCGAGTCTCTCTTCCTTCCCCAGGAGAAGCTGGAGGGCGCTTCCCTGAAGCCGGAGGCCAAGCGCTACTAGGAGAGGCTGGTCAGGCTGGGCCAAAGGAGCGGCCTCCATCTCCCTGTGGAGGTGCAGGAGGTGGGAGCCCTCCATGGAAGCCCTTCTCTCCTGGGCAAAGGCGGGCGGAGGGCTAAGGGGCAAGAGCCCTTGGCCCGGCGGTGGTGGAGGTGGCATCCAGTCCCTGGCGGGGAGTTCTTTAGAAGTCTGCAGAGGTGGCTTTGAAGGAAGGGAGGGTTCTGCCTCTGGGCAGGGGGGTTGGGGGGAGCTGGGGATCCTGGGCTGCTCCGTTCATTTCCACGCTTTCCCAGAAAATCAAGAAGATTAAGAAGAAGCTGAGCGTCCTTTGCATCGACTTCAACAAAAACCTCAACGAAGAGGCGACTTTCCTGGCTCTTACCAGGGAGGAGCTGGGTAAGGCTGTGGTGAGGGAGGCCTCTGACCACAGCGGGAAGCGAGCGCGTGGGGCCAGAGTGGTGGGCATCCGGCCCTCGGCTCCCCCATCAGGAGCGCTTCTTCCGTGGCCTCTGGGGGTGCTGCGTTTTCCCCCCAAAATGGGCAGAGGGATAGGAGCCACACTTCAGCTTGACAGGGATAAAAATTAGTCCAAGAAAGGTTACTTGCAGGCTTAGCGCAATGCGTCTGTTGGTCAAGCCGATGGTAGAAATCGAGCATCTGGTAAACTTAAATAATCCCGCGCGCTAATTCCTCCTTCTCTCTGGCTTCCGATGGGAGGTTCGACCTTTTGCTTGCAACTAGAATCTCCTCCTCTCCTTTCCCCCTCCCCCGCTGATGGGGGGCTTCTCCCAGCTCACCGCTATTTAGAATCCCTTTTGAAGGAGCCGAGGGTCCGTGGTCTCCGCGCCAGTCCTTTGGCTGGTCCTGGAAGGAGCAAATCCCCCGGAGCCCAGGGCTCAGGAGCCTTGCCCGGCATCTCTGTGGTTGGCGGATCACTGTCCTGGCGCTTGTCACCCCCACCTGCAGCTGAGAGCCCTCTTGGGGGTGTTTGGGGCAACCTAGCTGGCCTGCCTTTGCGTAGCTTTTCCCCACCTCACTTCTGCCCCCGCCCCCTCCGTTTTCACCCCTTTTGCGCCCGCACGCTGGAATGCTGCCGCCCCTCTTTCAGCGCGCGTCTGCAGGCCCAACTGTAACAGGCTGGAGCTCAAAGTCATGCGACTGCGGTGACATAGAAAAATTGTGCCCGTGGCCACTCTGCGCGTGGCAAGGAAAGGTTTGTCCCCACCGTGAGTCTGAGCTGGGGCCGAGTTCTCGCATTTCCCCAGGCGGGCAGGCCGGCCGGCTCTCCCAGCCCAGCCCAAAGGTGCCGTTGGCCTGCACAGCAGGGCTCCCACATTCAAGCTTCCTCACCCTTCCCTTCAGGAGGACTCCCAGAAGATTTCCTGAACTCCCTGGAGCAGGCAGAGGATGGTAGACTCAAGGTCACCCTCAAGTACCCCCATTACTTTCCCCTGATGAAGAAGTGCTACGTGCCGGAGACCAGGAAGCAGATGGAAGAGCGGTTCAACTCCAGGTGCAAAGAGGTATGGGGGATCGGGCGCCCTTCCCTGCACACGCACTGCCGGAGCAGAGTTTCCGTCTGGCAGCTGAGCTTGCTCCACCCAAATGGCGCAGGAGAATTGCCGGATCCTCGAGGAACTGGTGGAGCTCCGGGCCCAGAAATCGGCTCTCCTTGGGTTCGAAACGCACGCGGCCTTTGTGCTGGAGATGAACATGGCCAAGGACTGCAAGACGGTGGCAGCGTTCCTGGGTAAGGCCTCTGGAGAGCTTGGCAAGGGCTGGATGGCAGCAGGGAGCAGTCAGAGAAGAGAAGATTCCCAAGGTGGGGCGTGCTGCGCGGGCACCAAGGATCGATACCTGTGCTTTGTTCTCGCTGCTCAGAGGTAGAGGACTCCGGTTCTCCAGGAGAGGCGTTGAGCCCGGAGCAACCCCAGGGGGTCGTGTCTGGCTCCAGGGGGCGGGGGGAAGTGGCTTATCAGGGTAGAGGAAGGGAGCCCTGTCCTGGTGCTGGGACTCAAGAGTCACCTGAGCAGGCGGGGGGGGGAGGAAGGGGCTGTGGCTGAGCAGGAGAGGGATGTCTGGGCAGGGAGGAGGCCAGGCAACAGTGGCGACAAAGCCCACCCAGGCGTCCCGGCAGGGGCTCTGCTCGTATGCCAGGCTGGGGCGTTCAAGCTTCCCACCTGCGGGCGATCTCTCACCTTCCTCGGCTCCCTGCAGATGAGTTGGCAGCCAAGCTGAGGCCTCTGGGGGAGAAGGAGCGGGCCGTGATCCTGGGCCTCAAGCGGAAGGAGTGCGAGCAGCGGGGCCTGCCCTTCGATGGGCGCATCAACGCTTGGGACATGCGCTACTACATGAACCAGGTGGAGGAGACCCAGTACAGCGTGGACCAGAACCTGCTGAAGGAGTTCTTCCCCATGCAAGTGGTGACGGCGGGCCTGCTGGGCATCTACCAGGAGCTGCTGGGGCTGGCTTTCCACCCGGAGGAGGATGCCCAAGGGTGGCACGAAGACGTCCAGCTGTACACTGTGCAGGACCTGGCCTCCGGAAAGACCCTCGGCAAGTTCTACCTGGACCTTTACCCACGGTGAGCCTGGGAGAGGCGGTGGGACGGCGGCCACTCTGGGAAGGCCCTTGAGGCTGGGGCTGGCTCTAAAGGAAAGAAAGTACCTTCGTGTTTCCTGCAAAGCTGCTGGATTTCCACTTTCCAAATTCACGGTGCTGTTTCATGATCACGTTTAGTACACCTGAAGCTTTGATCTGGAAAGGGGGAAAGTCCGTAAAATACGCAACGCGTTACGAACTTTTCTTGAAATGCAGAACCCAAATTTTGGGGGTGGGGGGTTATATTGGCAACATGCAAAAACAGACTAGAGCAGAGGTATTTTTTTTAATCCTGCCTTTATTATTTCTTATAAATAACTCGAGGTGGCGAACATACATAATCCTCCTTCCTCCTCCTACCTTCTCCATAATAACAACCTTGTGAGGTGGGCTGGGCTAAGAGAGGACTGGCCCAAAGTCACCCGGCCGGCTTTCATGCCTGAGGTGGGACTAGAACTCACCGTCTCCTGCTTTCTACCCTGGGGCCTGTACCGCTGCACCAAACTGGCTCTCAATTCATGGCGCACTTAACGTCTCGGCAATTTTTTCACGGCACCTCTAGGCCGGTGGTTTGCGTGGCATCTGACATGTTGAGTATTGCTGCATTTCCCTTGAACATTTAAAATATCCTGTGGTGCCCCTGCGAGTGTGCTGCGGTGTGCTGAGCCGCATAGTTTGGGAACCGTGGGGTTAAACATAAAGATTTGAAAAATGAAAGAGAAATTGGCAAATACATCCCTTGTTACCACATGGCTTGTTTACTGATTATCTGCCATCTAGTCAGTGCCAACTCTTAGCGACCCCATAGATAGATTTTTTCCAGGAGGATCGGTCCCCAGGTCTTCCAGGGGTACCCCCATCACCACTGTCCCCCCTCCTGGCTGCTGGTCGTCCTTCTCTTTCCTTCCACCTTTCCCAGCATTAGCACCTTCTCCAGAGAGCTGAGTCTTCGCATAACGTGTCCAAAGTAGAATAATTTGAGTCTGGCCAGTGGTACCTTGAAGGAGAACTCGGTTGATTTGTTCAACGATCCACCGGTTTGTTTTCTTGGCTGTCCAGGGTCTTCTCAAGAGTTCTCCGACACCAGAGTTCAAAGGCGTCAGTGCTCTCCCCGTCCTGCTTCTCCAAGGCCCCCCCCCCCTGCAATAGAGGGTCACGGGACGCCGTGGCCTGCGCTGACCCTCTTTGTAGGGAGAGATCCATCTCGGCACTC